AAAAAAAAAAAGAAAAGAAAAAGGAAACAAAGAACCGCAAAACCCATCGATTAACTCACCAAATGTTCAGATCTGAAGAATCCCTCTATTCTTCTCCCTGTCTCAGTACAACCCTTCAAAGCCCCTGAGGCTAACACTGTAGAAAAGCTAGGATTTTTCCGGCGGTCGGGGACAACAGGCGACAAGAAAGGTCCTTTAACGGCGAGATTAAGAAACCCAAGTAATCTTTCCCCTCAAGCCACCAAGGGCCCAAAATCTCTCTCTCTCTCTCTCTCTCTCTCTCCCCTTTCTTGCTCTGTGTTCACTCTCTCTCCTCTGTACTCTCTCTCTCTATCTAATATATCTGCCTGAGGATATATATACCCTGAATTGTGGAGGGCTCTAGAATAGGGGATCTCGGGCCGTCGGATGAGTACTGCGGAACTCATCTTGACCGTTGATTTGGCCGCGCTGAGCTGGTGGTAATGGATTGGGAGATGACGTGTCGGGGGACAGCCAATCCGTGTGCTTTCATTAAAACTGTGGAAATTGGGAAAATGGACGTAACTGCCCCTGATTTTACTAGGTTTCATTTGTAGGAAAACGATGATAATGACGTGTGTATATATTACCGCAGTTATAAAAGGAAAAAGACATTTTAACCATTGGCTTGACCATGACATTTGTGAGGTGTCTTACCCTCGTCGAGTGTTAGTCTAGTCATTTTTAGATCTCTTGTCTCTTTTGTTTGTACCAAAAAAAAGAAAAAAAAAAGACATTTTAACCATTTGGGTGTAGTCGACTTGTCTTAGAGGGATTTGCATTTTGTCACATGAAATTGTTGTAATTTTATTTTGTGGATTCACATGCAAATGATGTTTCTTACTCTCTTATTTTTTTCTTAATTGGAGATGGGAGATTTTTCTTTGATTTCATATAATCGTTGGATTCATATAATTGTTTGAAATTGTTATCTGGTTACATTTGAGATTTTGTGCATTAAACAATGTTAGAGTAATCAAATTGTGAGCCATAAATCATTCAATCACGCTTTACCCAACATCTTCCTCTTTCCTTAGCAACGAGTGACAAATATCACAAATCGAATCTCGAAATTGGATATTTTAAATTGTACAGGTGTAAATTACACACGTTCTGGATACACAACGTGAGGAGTAAAGTTTGAGCCGACATCCAACATTAATCACGTACGAGATCCAATTTTGATATTATAATGACATTAACTTTCAATTTACTTGTTTTGCTAACCAAATACCACGAAGAAATACACACAATTTATCTCATTTTTGCCATCTTTGTTGAGTAGCTATCTTATAGTTGCACAAGAGCCGAGCTGAGTCGAGCATTACTCTTATCGAGCTCAGCACGGTTCTTTATATTGTTCAAGCTCGATTTTGACAAGTCAAATATTTCTATGCACAGTTCAACTCAACAAGAAAATACAAATACTCGAGATCAACTCGAATCTTGCCCAATTTTGACTTGAAAATTTGAATACAAAATA